AGGCAGGTTCCCTGGTTGTCGGTTCAGTCTCTGTGAGCCCCTGTGAGCCCTGGTTAGTTGATTCTGTGGGCCATTTTCTTGTGGTCTCCTTGACCCCTCTGGCTCCTTCAATGTCCCCCCACCCTGGTCTTCCGCAGGATTCCCCAAGCTCCTCCTAATGTTTGGCTATGGTTCTCTGCATTTGTTCCTATCAGTTGCTGGATGAAGCCTCTCCAATGACGACTGGGCTACTCACCCAATGAGCAGAGTATCAGTAAGAATCATTGCATTGACTTTTTAGGTTTTTTTTGTCAGTCGAGTTTGGTTCTATCTTAGCTTCCTGGGCTACCCTCTGGGTCCTGGTCCTCGGGGGTGAGCTCCCTCTCATGCTATAACTCTCAAGCTGGGTCAGTCATTGGTCGGCCACTCTTATAATTTCGGCACCACCTTTACCCCGGCGCATCTTGTAGGCAGGGGCTGGGTGGTGTCCCAGACCCTCTACTGGAACTCTCACCTGTTTTCAGGAGGTAGGATTTTCTTTTCTATCTTCCTCCTTTTTGGCCAGTCATGTTTGGTTCTATCCTATGTCTCCAGGCTATCCAGCTTCTGGTTCCTGGCCCTCTGGGCAGCCACAACGCCTTTTTAAGCTGTTTTTTAAAGTTAAAGGTTAAGAAAACCCCACTTAGGAGACTCTGTGACCTCTTCATTGGATTCTGGTCCAACTGCGGTGCTTGTTGCTTGCTTGCTTTATTTGTTTACTTACAGACTTATTTATTTTTATTTTCTGTGCATTGCTGCTTTGTCTGTATGTCAAGCCTGTGTACTGTGTACAGTGTCCAGAGGCCAGACAAGGGCATCAGATACTATGAGACTGGAGTTGCAGCTGTGAGCTGCCATGTGGGCTCTGGGACTTGAACCCAGGACCTCCAGAAGAGCAGCCGGTGAGTACTCTTAACCTCTGAATCCTATGGCCAGACCCACTCTGGTGCTTTTTGAAGATACTGACCTCGTTCCCACTCAGGGTCATGTACCTGTGGTGTCAGCAGCATACACTTCTCACGCCCTCAGTTTCCCAGATAGCACCCTCATTCTTGGCAAGGATCACTTCTCCTTTGCAAACTCACCTCCCCAGTGTAAAGTAGCGGCTCTAGGCATCATCACAATACTTGCCTTTGGAGCAATCTTATTCTTTTAAACGTATAAGGACTGAATGTCTCCTAGTCCATGAAAGTGAAGAGCAGACTTGACTGTGTCTCCCTGATATCCTCCAGAACTTGAGCAGCACCTGATATTGTGCAGGTGCTGAATATTCATTAAGTGGACATTCTGCTCCTGGGATAAACACGACTTGGTTACAGAGCACTGTCCTTCCCGTCAATTTGATTAGATTTACTTTTCCCATATGTTTGTACACATTATGCATTCATCCTCCTCCCACCCCGGCGTCCTTCCAGATTATATCCCCTAGGGTGAGCTGGGGGAGCACTTCCTCCGTTACTACTGTGTGGAACAGTTTGTACAAGACAGACACTACCTAGGCCTTCAAAGTGTGGAAGCATCTTCTTCAAATCCCCCTGAGCCAGCTGTTTTTCTCATGGGAATATTTTAAATGACTGCTCCAGTTTCTTTATAATCTTAAGATTATTCAAGCTATTTCCTTTTGAGATTGGAAAAAGAAAACATTCTTTAAGATGCTCTTTGGGATGTGACCATTTCATCTAAAAACTATCTAAACTAAATTTACTGGGAGTGATTACCTTTGGGTGTTCTTGGTCTGTGTAGTAGGTAGATAGACATATTCATATAAAATATATAAGGGGGGAGTCATTTGGACTAATGAGGGCAGTGTGTATTAAACCAAAGATTTCAGAACCAATTGTGTACACTCTTACTGCTCAGGAACAGCATTTCCCAAAGCAAACCTGGGCCCGGGGTTCACACACAGACCTAGATGGGAAACAGCTGTGAGCATAGCATCGGGTTTCCCCAGTCCAGATTCTGACAGACAGAAAACACTTGATCTCTGCCACTTCGCCAAGGCTGGGTTCTGGCCTTCCACACCACAGAGCATTTCAAACCTTCTTTGTCCCGGAGCTGGACAAAGCCAGAATACCTGCCAGGAGTAGTTCCTATGCAAGGGGCACCAGACAGGACAGCTCAAAGGGCATTCTAGAAGAGATCAAATTATAATGAACTAAACAGTGTTTTGACACTTAGGACAGCCCTGAGGTCTGACGGGATTCTCTGCTTGTGAAATTGTTATATGATTTACTACATATACCTACATGTCTATATCTATATGTGTGTCTGCATGTGTGTGTCATCACTATACTCAAAGGACAGGAATTCCTGGGAGAATGCAGGTGGAAAGGCATCTAGTTTTTGAAGATCATTAGCTGTCACAAAGTTTGGAATTAATCATGACACTGTGCAAATAGTAAAATATTTGCCAGCACGGAGAGGGTGGAGATGCCAGAACCTGTGAATTTATGCCAGCTGAGCACCGCAGCGGAACATCACTGTGGAGGCGGCTGACAAATGGAGTCACTATTTTGCCAACTCCAGGAAAGCCTTACACAATTGCATCAAAATTGTTTCTATGCAAACAATTGTTTTTTAAAAGGGTCCTTACCTCAAATAACTGCTATTGAGTGCTTTCGGGGGAAGCACAAACCCAGGTATTAGCCTCTAACTCTTAGGAGGTATTTCTCTTGGAATAGTGATGGAGACCATAGGTGTGTTATTCTCCTTTTTGCTATTCCTGTTCTCTCCATCAGTTTTGTCTTTTCCATTCAAAACATAGCTGCAGGTTTGGTGGGGGAAAGGGCAGAGGGAAGAAGGGGGAGGTATATTTGCAGCAATAGTGGGAGGGAGGTGGAGGTGGGTAAAAAGGAGAGATAGAAGGCAACTCATTTAGCACCTACTGGCAACATCTACAGGTTTCAAAGCCCTGGCTGTCCTGGAATTCTCTGTAGACCAGGCTGGCCTTGAACTCACAAACATCTGCCTACTTCTGCCTCCTGACTGCCACTACCGCCCGACCAGGGTTCATTTCTTCCTGGAGGAAGTAAAACAGCACATTTACTTAAGGAAGTTACGTGTGAGATTCGGTGGGTCTATGGGTCAGTAAAGGCTTTGGTTATACCCCCAGAATCCACATGGTGAAGAGCCAACTCTGCAGACTGTCCCCTGACCTCCACATCAGTGCCGTGGCATTGTACCTTCCTGTATTATAAATGTTAAAAACTCTGCTCTCCCATCACAAATCGGGATGGGAGAACTGTCTTATCCATACACTTATTAAAACCATAAAGGAATATTTTAATTGAATACTTGTGACATTATGAATTTTTCCAGAAAACAGGACCAAGTCAAACCATTAGCATTTTGTATTACTTGTCTGTGTGTGTAGGGACAGGGGCATGTGTCAGGGAGCACATATGGACCTCAAAGGACACTTGTAAGAATCTGTTTTCTCCTTCCGTCCTGTGCATTCAGGACTTGAATTCAGATCCCAGGCTTGGGTGCAAGTGCCTTTAACCAAGGAATCATTTCGCTGATCCTACATCATGATATTTTTATTTTTTAAAGCCCGAAACTAAACCCATACAAACCAAAACAACAATCGAAATAAGGCAAAAAAAAAAAAAACCAAAACGAAACTAAACCAAACCAAATCAAAACTAGTTAAAGCCACAGAACAATATCCTTGTCACCCCCCCCCCCCCCCGCCCCCAACAATCCTTGTACCCAGAACATTCTGTATGATTCCCGGAAGAAACATGTCATCAATGGATTTAGAAGGGTCTTCAGGCCGAGGGAGGCTGCTCCAGATAGACTAAGATAATTTTGCAGTAATGGTGTTTTACTTGTGAAAGCTTCAAAGGGACAGGGGCAATCAGCTTCCCGGTGATCCGCAGTTTACCACAGGGCTGAACCTCAGGACCACAATGACTCACCTTTCTGCCCGCCTTCTAGGTGGAAAAGGGAGTACAATCTTTCCCATGTTGCCCTCAAATCCTCACCCATCCTGCCCCTGCCATCACCTAGGGTTACTGTAGCTGCTCCACTTTATAGTTGGGGCTATGGTTCACTCTCGGTGCTCTCTCACAAGTTAAAAAAAAAGCCAACGCAGATCAAACTAAAAAAGCAACTTTCAACGACCGAGAACGTTTTCCGTTGTGATCAAGTCTTTGATCTCGTCTCTTCCTCTTTAAAGTCAAGGGGCCCCGAAAAGTATTTTACTAGAAAATAAAACAACGTAGACCCCTCCCCCAGCAGCCCTGTCTCAGAGGATGTTAACAGAGGTGGAAGCTCCACTAGGAGCGCAAGCCTAGAGCATCTGCCTGGCGAGGTGTGTGTGTGTGTGTGGTGGGGGGGGGGGGTGTCATCGAAACCTAGTGGCCTTGTCCTAGTCCGGGATACTCGGATAGGGTGCCGAAAAGCACACTCTGAATCCCTTCAGTGACCCTAGGGCCAGAAAGATTTATTACTTCCTCCTTGAGGGAGAAACCACAAGCCAACTGGAAAGGGCGAGCACCGGGGTCGAAGCCTCAGAACTGTGTTCTCCTGATATCCAGCGCTGCCTGGCGGCGCTGCTTCCTCCTTAGGAGGGGACACCAGTGCTGACCGCTGGGGACGAACGGGGGATTTCTGCCCAAACTTTTATCGCCAACTCTTCTCGAAAGCGAACACTGGAGCCGAATGAGTCTTGCAGTCGCTGAGAACCCAAGTCTCCGGCTGTGCAGGAGAGTCGCGAATCAGGCTCCAGGAGAACCTAGAGCTCTGTGACTCGCGGATGGCGGCCCGAGAGGCGCCGCCTTGAACCGGGTCGCATCTCCAGCCCCTAAGGAGGCGGCGGCTGGAGTCCGGAGCTGCGAGGAGGGAGGGTGTGGGACAGGCCGAGGGGGGGGGGGGGGGTAGCGTGGCGAAGGGGAGGAGCCGGAGCGACAGACGGCGGCGCGCACCAACCCCGAGCGGGCAGGCAGGAGCCGCGCAGAGGCTGGCCCGAGCGCGTTGCAGGCGCCCGGCGTAGGGGGAGTCGGGTAGCAGCATCCTCCCGGGCGCCGCTTTAGTGCGGTCGCAGCGGGGGCTTCCTCTACCTCGGGACTTCGTTGGGCAGAAGCAATCGGTGCCGGGGAGGGTCCCGCTCTTTTGCTTAAAGCTACGTGTCCAGGGTTCCTCCTGGGCCAGTTCGCAGTCACGGAGCGCCGGGGCTCGCCTGAGCTGCCTGCCCGGACATCCTCCGGGTGATGGAAGAAGCAGCCGCCGCTGCGGGGCCGCGCTGTACCCTCTCCGCCACCGCCGGAGGGATGGGAAGGTTCGCTGCGTGGAGGCCGAGTGCGAGCGATGGAGAGCGGATTAGCCTGGAGCTGGGACGTATCTAAGCTACTCCGCACTGTCGCCTCTAGCCTGCTTCGTACCCCAGAGCCGGGAGGGAAGCTGCGGTCCCGAGAGACTCGGGGGAGACGTCGCTGGAGCCGGGACGGGCCGTGCTCGGTGGAGTGCAGAGCAGGGCTCTGGGCCCGGTGAAAGTTTCCCCTTCTGAGCTACAGGGCGCCCGCTGCCGGGAAACTCTGCCCAGGGCCAGGGCAGCGGAGTCCCGCGGCTCCCTCGAAGGATTGGGGACCCCTGGCAGAAGAGAACCGGACAGAAACCGAGGAGAGCGCTAGTCGGACAGTCCGCCGGTCTGAGATCCGGGGACGCTCTGGGGCGCATCCGCTGCTCCAGGTAAGTGGGGGCGGCCCGCAGACCGGGGGGGTGGGCGTTACTCTGGCGGAGGAGGCATCTGGGCGGGAGACTGGGCTCACCCATTCACTTCGCTTCCCCTCGCAGGTCCTTCTTGGAGCCGCTGCCATGGGAGAGTCAGCCCTGGGCGCTGGGGACCAGCCGCCTCTTCCGCCGCGCCCGCCTCGGATCGGCGGCCCCAGTCCCGGCGCCCGCAGCCGGCCTGCAGCGTCCCCCTCCCGGGCTGCAGGGCCGCCTCCGCCGCGCCGCCGGCCCCGGCTGTGCCTGTGATGAGCCGCAGCTCGCCTCGAGCTCTGCCCCCGGGCGCGCTTCCCCGGCCGCTGCCGGCTGCGCCTGCCGCCGTGCAGCGGGCCCTGCTCCCGCCGTGGCCCCGGCGCGCAGGACGCCGCTGGCCTGCGTCCCCGCTCGGGATGAAGGTGTTTCGCAGGAAGGCGCTGGTGCTGTGCGCGGGCTACGCACTGCTGCTGGTGCTCACGATGCTCAACCTTCTGGACTACAAGTGGCATAAGGAGCCGCTGCAGCAGTGCAACCCCGACGGGCCTTTGGGTGCCGCGGCGGGGGCAACAGGGGGCGGCTGGGGACGGCTGGGGTCGCCTCCTGCAGCGCCACCCCGCGCTCACCCGCGCATGGACCCCCGTACTCCATACCGCCCTCCCGCAGCCGGCTTGGGGGCAGTTCCCGCAGCCGCGGCGGGGGCTGTAGGAGCTGCGGCCTCTCCAGGCAATGGAACTCGAGGCACCAGGGGTGGAGGGGACAAGCGGCAGTTGGTGTATGTGTTCACCACGTGGCGTTCCGGTTCGTCCTTCTTCGGCGAGCTCTTCAACCAGAACCCTGAGGTGTTCTTCCTCTACGAGCCTGTGTGGCACGTGTGGCAAAAACTGTACCCCGGGGACGCGGTTTCCCTGCAGGGGGCAGCGCGGGACATGCTGAGCGCTCTGTACCGCTGCGATCTTTCGGTTTTCCAGCTGTATAGCCCCGCCGGCAGTGGGGGGCGCAACCTCACCACTCTGGGCATCTTTGGGGCAGCCACCAACAAGGTGGTGTGCTCCTCGCCACTCTGTCCCGCCTACCGCAAGGAGGTCGTCGGGCTGGTGGACGACCGCGTGTGTAAGAAGTGCCCACCTCAACGCCTGGCACGCTTCGAAGAGGAGTGCCGCAAATATCGCACGCTGGTTATCAAGGGCGTGCGCGTCTTCGATGTGGCTGTGTTGGCGCCGCTGCTTCGAGATCCAGCCCTGGACCTCAAGGTCATCCACCTGGTGCGGGATCCTCGAGCGGTTGCCAGCTCCCGCATCCGCTCACGCCATGGCCTCATCCGGGAAAGCCTACAGGTGGTGCGAAGCCGGGATCCGAGAGCCCACCGCATGCCTTTCCTGGAGGCCGCTGGCCACAAGCTGGGTGTCAAGAAGGAGGGTATGGGTGGACCAGCAGACTACCATGCTCTGGGTGCAATGGAGGTCATCTGCAACAGTATGGCCAAAACGCTGCAGACAGCCCTGCAGCCGCCTGACTGGCTACAGGGACACTACTTAGTGGTGAGGTACGAGGATCTGGTGGGAGACCCGGTTAAAACTCTGCGGAGGGTGTACGACTTTGTGGGGCTGCTGGTGAGTCCTGAAATGGAGCAGTTTGCCCTGAACATGACCAGTGGTTCGGGTTCTTCCTCTAAGCCGTTCGTGGTGTCAGCTCGCAATGCCACTCAGGCCGCCAATGCCTGGCGGACCGCGCTCACCTTCCAGCAGATCAAGCAGGTGGAGGAGTTTTGCTACCAACCTATGGCAGTGCTGGGCTATGAGCGGGTCAACAGCCCTGAAGAGGTCAAAGACCTCAGCAAGACCTTGCTTCGGAAGCCCCGGCTTTGAGAGGGTTTCCCAAGAGATCTGACACCCTCTGGAGACACCCACAAAGAGGATGGTGTTGTGTTTAAACAAACACAGCCCAGACCCAAGCTGAGGAAGCCCACATATTCTATTATAGATATATAATATAAATAACCACACCGGCACTTGCTGTCAATGTTTTGAGTCAGTGAATTTCAAGGAACAGCCTCAACACATGTGCGCGTACACACACACACACACACACACACACACACACCTCAGAAAAGGCAAGACTTGAAAGTTCTGACAAATTGCCCTGTCCCCTACCTCTTCTCCCTCTCCCCTTCTCGTCCTCTCCCTCCCCCCTTCCATATTGAAGTGGAATGTCGTTAAATCAAAGTTCCAGTAACACAAATCTTGTTTACAATTTTTTGTGGCATCTGTGAATGTGTAAGATTAATTTGGATGTGGAGTGGGGTGGGTGGAGAAGGGGAAAGTGGTCCCAGAGCAGAAAGCCCCCCCACGGGCTGGTAAACCTAGGAGGCATCCTTCAAAATAGACTTTTGTGTAAAGCAGCAAAGGTGACATGTGAGTATTAATAAAGAAGATAATAAATAATATTCTTTTTTTATATTTGCCTCCATTACTCTGGGTTTACCAGTACTACTTGTCTTGGTAACTTCAGGTGGCCTCTGCTCCCCTCCTCTCCCTACTTGGGGGATAGCTAAGCTGGGAGAAGCCTCTGCCTTCATAATAATTGGGAGTTGTTTTCTCACGTGCAATCCACAGCCTGCCAGCTGCCCAGGAATGGAAGCAGTCTTTTACAGGCAAAACCAGGCAGGGCAGAGAAGAGAGCACACACTACTTTCCTGTTCAGCTTTGAGGAGAGAAAGGAAGAAACAAGCCCTTGAGATTTGAAGGCATTCGGTTTTGGTTACTACTGTATTGTGAGTTGAGACAGGGTACCTTGAAGCAGAGACTGCTAGTTTTGTTCTGAAGTTGGTTCAGAAAGAAAAAAAGAGGAAAATTTAAAGGCATATGTATATATATTTTTAAAGTTCTAATGATTAGAATATGAGTTTCAAAATGGAGTGAATACTATTGGCCCTGGTGGCAGCAATCTCTGTAGTTAGTGGAAGGACAGAAATATCTGCTTGGAGTGTTTTTGTCTTTGACACAGTATCCGGAGGCATATTAAGGCAAAGTTGTAACTGAGGACTAGGGGGACACCCACAGGTTTTCTTTCCTCCTCACGTCCCATCCAAACCAGTAACACTAAAGGACAGGAATTTGAAATAGTTTGCTGGAGACTTGGGGTGTCCTGGAGCCATGGTATTCTCCTTATTTTCCTAAAGGTAAATTTGCAAAACAAAGTACATGAGGCAGACAGTGTAGGATTCTAACTAAGAACTTTTAGATACTAAGAGGAGTCTGAAGAAGGGGAAATAAAAGTGAATTACTCTGGGATTCTGAGATTTGGCATTGAATTTCCCAGCAGTGGTTATGATACTCCCACGTCCTGAACTCATATTGTGCTGAAGTATTCTGTATGGTGTTGTGTTAAGAAATTATGAAACCCAAATAGGAAAAACAGACAGTATAGTTGTATATTACACATTATATTAAATGCGGTACAAGCCCAGTTTTCCTGCAGCTTTATTTTACAGTAATTTATTATGAGAATCTGGGAAGCCTACAAATGTGGGTTGAATGCTGAGGATTTTATTTTAAAAGAGAAAGAGAATATGTACAAAGGGAATGTTTTAACATGAGGTGATTCTTGAGTTTAGTTATCATTGCGATGTGAAATCCAAGACGAAGAAGCCCATTTTTTTAAAAAAAGGTGTCTTAGGATGATTATTTCCTAGTCTACTGAAATTGTTTGCCATGTCTTGTGACTGAGCTAGACAGCTATTATAACACTGCTCAAGATTTCCATAGTATCTTTATGGTAGTGCCTTCAGCAGCAGGGGAATCTTTGTAAGAGCTCTAATTTAAGAATACTTTAAAATTAAATGAACAAAATAAATATTAATGTTGGGTGACTATAGATGAAAAAAGGCTTAGCAGCAAATTAGGGTAGTGTCATTAAAAAACAATGATTCTGGGTAAAATAACCATTTAAAAACAAATTCTGTATGGCATTAGAACCAGCTCTTTTCAGCCACAGTGAAATTCATTTCTGGTTGAGCCGAAGGTTTTTAAAGCAGCTCCCTTCTATTCTTTTCCAGCATCTCCAGCGACTCGGATCGCCCTAGACTGGAATTATGTTTTGGGATCTTGTGTTTAAAAGCTTTCCTAGATGCTATACAGAGCCTTGCAGCTTGCAGAGCCTTCATGGCCTCGGCTGAGAGGAAATTCTCAGCTAACCCCGACAGCTCTCCCCTCCTCTGTTTGCAGAGGTTCTCTCTGTATTTTCCTTGTTTTGTAGCAGCTGCAGGCTCTCCACTCTGCCACTCCTGGGCTCTGCAATTTGAAAAGGTGAATTGTTGCTCCTGGAGATTTGTACCTCACTGCATTCTAGGAAAGTGAGCTGGGTGTTGTTCCCACTAGAGGCTGAGATAGTCATATCCGTGACATTTAGCTGCCAGAGCTTGGAGAAGCATTTTTGGCGTTAACAAGCTCTTGTGGGCCCCTGGTGCAAGCAGACCTGGGCCATGACGAACTGCAGCAGCACTGTGACCATTTCTGAGGCCGCGTGGTTGAAAGCAATCCTTTCACATTGCCCAACCTGGCAGGATGTCCGTCAGTGGGAGGAAATTTTCCTCAGAGCAGCTTCCCTGCCAGAGAGATTCTGTTTGTGAGTTCGGCCTGACTGGTGACATGCCTGGCGTAGCCCTTTGACTTTGGAATGTATTTGTTAATTAGGAAGCTCCATTTAGAGAATGAAATCCAGGCAGCACATCTAGTCAACAAATAGGAGTTTGGAACAAGACAAAGGTGCAGGCTGGGTGCTTGAGTTTCAGGAATCTCAGAACCCATGAAAGGTTGCATTCACACTGTCCCCTGGGTCCAGGGACTGGGGCAAATCTGTGCCCTTCAGTATTTCCCCCACAGTGAGTGCTTGTTACATACTTGTTAAATAAGTAAATGAAATGTGTAACTATCAGATACTGGAGATGTTTAGAGGGAAAGAGAAGACGATGTTCACCTGTTCAGTGCCAGTAGCAGGTCTCTGGGGGAGGTCATGGCCTGCAGGCTCTGGTAGATGGACGCAGCAAGCAATGGTACACCTGTGGTGTTTCCAAGGTGACCCAGCCCTTTAACTCATACCAGGGAATTAGAAAGAACTGCAGAACTGATGAATGTGGAGAGGCAAATTCAAAATAAGGAATTCAGTTTTCAGTATTTGTTTCCCAAACGGCATGAACACAGGAGGGCAGGGATCTGACATCTAACTGTGGATCAGAATTGCCCGGGTGCCTAGGCGTGGTCTGTGAAGTTTGTTTTGAAGAAACTGTGATGTTTACTATTTTGAGTGCTGTGGATGCATAGACTGATAAAATGTGCTGTAAGCTGTGGCCGGGCAGAGCAATGGCTGCTGTGGGAAAGTCCGTTCTGCTTTGGATACGGAGTGAGACAAGGGCTCCCTGCTCCGGTGTGTTCACAGCCTGGCTACAGTCAGTTCTGCCCTGTGTAGTTGTGGCTGGATTACGCTGCTGGTTCGAAATGAATGTGAATTTGGGTGAGACTATCAAGTTAATATTCCCTGGGAACTGGGCAATTAAATAAAGATCATGTTTGAAACACAGTCTCTAGACATGAATTCAGAAAGAGAAAGAGAGAAATGAGGCGTGGGTCACTTCATTTAGACATGGTAGCTCATGATGACGTGTCTCTTGTCACCCCCAACCCCTCAACACACAGACCCATGCAATACCCTATATGGAGTTCCTGAACTTTCTTTAAGGGGTCTTCACCAAGAGACTTTCTTCCTTTCTTTTTTTGATGTTGAGGATCGAACCTAGCAAGACCAAGGCAAGGGCTCTATGATGAAGTCAGATTCTCAATCTATGTTTTTTTTTTTCTTTTTGGGGAAAGGTTTTCATATGACTCAGACAGGCTTAACCTCATTAAACAGCCAAGAGTGACTTTAAGCTTCTGGCCTCCTGTTTCTACCTCCCAAATACTCGGTTTATCATTGTATACCACCATGTTTGTTTTGTATGATGTCGAGGATCGAATCTGGGACTTTTGTGCATGCTAGGTAAGTTCTCTACCAACTGAACTGCAACCCTGGCCCCCAAGAGAATGCCTTAATATCTGCTAACCTTGTGTGATGAGCTCACTTTTGATCTCAGGCCTCTGGAGAGTCAGTGAGCAATCATTGTATCAGAGCCACGACAGTTCTATGTCAGGATCCAATGCGGATAGGCACAAAGTGACAGCTTCAAAGAAAGGAAGAAAGGGCTTGAGCTGTGATGGGCTGTCCAGAGATGAATTCAGAGTTTACAGATCCCCCCTTGTCACTCACCTTAAGGAGAGCCCTTTCAAATTGTCAAGGCTAAGAAAATAACTTCCCTCCCTTGTGGCTATTCAGCTGCTGTTTTTGTAGCTCAAGGAACAGCTACTGAAGGGCTCAGCTGCAGAGTCTGGTGTGAATCTTTAATAACAGAAGTCATAAGGCTTAGCATTTATCAAACCCCTGCATATCCTAAATCGGATTGTGCTCAAGAAAATGTTAAATTCGACCTAACACATTAAGTCTGTGCCATGGGGAAGTTTTGAGTCAGTGTTTGGGGGTGCCGGTGTTTATAAACTTGAAGGAACTTTAAAGGGGAAAGGCTGATCTATACAGTTGCTAATGGGACGATAAAGTGTAGTCAAGGTCAAAACATAACATTTGGTCAAATCAGTTACCTGCAAAAAAATGTCAAAAGTATATGGGGGTGCTGCTTAAACTACATGCCTGTGATAGTCCCTCTGCAAAGGGAATGATGGCTAAAGTAATCACTGTGACACGAGTGGACTCAGAAACATTTTGTGAGGGCTCCCGTGTCAGGTGCATGGACAAGGCTTTAGAGAAATTCACCTCGAAGTGGGTTTGTCTTCTGGATGGAAGCAGATGCATAATTTGCAACGTTCAGCACAAAGTTAAAACGCCTTCTCCTTGTTAACAAAGTGAGTAGGCCTTTCAAGATGACAACCGCAGGAGATTAAGCCAACCGTGAAGCCTTCCTAAGCATGCAGTTGTGCAGGTTGTGTGCCTCTAGAGCTCTTGCTTCCAGATGCAGGGAACGACATGTCAAGCTGCAAGGGAGAGGAAGGGCAAGGGACACTTCAGAAGCAGGAGTTACTACATGTGACAGTCCCAAAAGCAAAGGTGTCTAAGGACACTCTGGTGGTGAAGTTAACTCAGTGTGCACATGACAAGCCCCCCCCCCTCCGTGCTGACGATAGGAAGTTAAGAACTTGCATAGGGACCTCTCTCTGTATGTTTAGTGTGTATAAAAACAGCATCCAAACATGGAAAAGCAAAGCTCAGGTTACAATGTATCCAAAGGACAAAGGTATCAGGTGTACTAAGCCAACTGGTATACCTCTTGACTGTGTTCTGTACAGCTGATTGAGATTATTTTATGATAGGTTTGAGACATTCATTAGATATATTCTCCTGGGTATCATTTTTCTAGTCTCTACTACTCTCCCTGCTTCCTTCTCCTTTTCCCTCCTCTTTTTCATTTTTGTTGTACAAGGACTCAATGACGTATGTAACCCAGGTTGGGCTGAAGTTCTTGCCTCAGTCTTGTGAGTTTGCAGGCATCCACCGTTAAGATCTCTTCCTTACTTGTCAGTTCTTGTTTACCATTGAAGGTCCTGGATCTTTTGAAGCTTTTACATATTATCAACCCTGCTTCAAGATGTAGAAATGTTTTCCTCTTCCCTAGTCTTCTTTGCCACACTGTGTACCCATCTGCCAGTATGTTTCACTGCAAGCCGGACTCACTTGCTGATAGGCCTGTTTTCCTCCCGTAGGAAAGATCCATCAGAAGGGAAGGCACTGGATCTTATTAGTATATGTTTCCGTTTACTCGGGACCAAGGGTTCTGTGCACATAGCTATTTCTTAAGGGAGTGCTAAGTAAAAGATTCAACCCAAGAAACCAGAACAGGAGAACTTGGGGACAAATGCTCTGTCAAATAGCTTCAGACTCAGTACAGCTGCATTCTACCAAATCTCAACCTTCAGATGCAGGGCTAACAGAAGCTAAGAAAGCAAGACAAATTAATATGGATGAAAAGGAATAGCACATTAACTTCCAAGGAGGATCTAGATGGCAGTCTTTTCCATACTAAGTTTGAAACAGAAATAGGACAAATTTGAACCCTCCTCCATAGAAAAACAACACGTGAACTATTGTCAAACAAAATGATAATTTTAAAAGTCTGCCACAGGAAAGAGTGTCACTATAATGCAGGTTGCTGTTGTGCATTTGTGAACTGTAGAGGTCTCAGCCAATATGAGCATCTTTTAAGCATTTCAGGGACTGGAAAAAGTTTCAAGAACCATTGAGGTCTAAATGTTACAATTCCATTTTGAGATGTCCCAGTTACTCTGGCAAAATTTTCAGTCTCTCTAGGATTGCACTAGTGCCTAAGAGGAATTAAAATATTTCATGTTTTCATCTTTGTGTTCAGCACTTACATGAAGAATGGAATTGGGTTATTACCTTTTAAAAGAAAAACAGCCCTGATAATGTTGGCACATGTCTTTTTTTTTTTTTTTCAAGACAAGGTTTCCCTGTGTAACAACCCTAGCTGTCCTGGCACTTACTCTGCAGACCAGACTGGCCTTGAATTTACAGAGATCTGCCTGCCTTTGCCTCTGGAGTGCTGGGATTAAAGGCGTATGCCTGGCCTCACAAAGTGAGTTCCAAAATAGTCAAAGCTACACAGAGAAACCCTATCTCGAAAAACAAAAACAAAAACAACACAACAAAAAACCCCACAAACCCCCAAAGACCAAAAAAAAAAAAAAAAAAACAAATAAAAAGGCAAGCAAACAAATGAAACACAAAACAAAACACATCTTCTCTCTGCGCTAACACCCACATCTGTGATTTTTAGCTCAGTTATTTAACCAGCCCTATTAACTGGTGAGCCCAGTATTTTCCTAAGGCTGTGGCTTGGGAGTTCCCTTTGTGGAGACCAAGACTGAGCTGCCTGTAGTATTTCATTTATGTTTTCATACTTCCCAATTGACTCCTTAATGCACAGTGTTCTTTATGACATCCTATCATCGTTCCCATCTCACTTTCAGATGCCCCAAATGTGCCAGGAGGACCGTGTGCCAGGCACAGTGCACAAATGTCCTGTAAGTAGGGTCCATTAGAGTCCATATGACAGACGACATGATGGGTCTCATTTGGCAGAAGGGAACACGGGCTCAGGTGGGTCATTTCTTTTTTTTAATTTTATTCATCCATTTACTTATTTTTTACATACTGATCCCAGTTCCCTCTCCCTCCTCTCTTCCTGCTCTCCACTTCCCCCTCACCCAACACCCATCAGCTCCTCAGAAAGGGTAAGGCCTCCCCTGGGAAGTCAACTAAGTCTGTCCCATCATCTCCTTAAGGTGGAACCAACCCCCCCCCCCCCCCCCCCCTGATTCCTAGGCTGAGCAAGATATCTCTCCATAGAGAATGGGCTCCACAAAATCAGTTCACACATTAGAGCTAAATTCTGGTCCCACTGCCAGCAGCCCCATATGCTGCCCAAGCTACACCATTGTCTGTATTCAGGGGGCCTAGTTCAGTCCTCTGCAGGTTCCCCAGTTATCAGTCCGGAGTCAGTGATCTCCTTGTGGGTCATTTCTAAGGTCACTAGTGGGGGCAAGTCACTTCTTGTTTAGTACATCTGGGGTCACACTGTTTGCAGTTTAAGTGTTGACAAGATAATAGCAAAGCCCCCACTCCCAACCCCAGTTCCAGCCAAATGCTTTCTGAGAGAGGCACCCTGAGTACCTGCCGCAATTTGACTAGGTGCCAGTATCTTTGGAGAAGCACTCATATATAACAGAAGAAAGGAGTGATTGCTATTTTAAGCACAGGTCAAAATTTCTCTTATAATGGCTTTTATTTAGCAAACACTGTAATAGGCCATTTTGGGAGAGGAAGGTAATTCTACAGAAAGCCTGGGTGGGAAATTTTGGGTTTGGATAAAGGAAGGAGTAATAAGGACAAGATAGAATGCTGGAGCCTCACAGGGGAGATGATTATGATACCCACGAAGAGGAGACAATGGCCAGGGACTTGAGGAACAGATGTCCTGCCAGGACTTGGTTACCTGGCTGAGCCACAATGTAGTCCCTGAGGAGACCTCAGTGATGGTTCTGTGTGCTGGGCAGTTTCCACCAAGGCGGAACACAGGCCAGAGAAGGTAGTTGTCAGAACTGGAGTCTGTCCATGGAGGGTTGGTTCTCATACAGAAGAGCAGGACAAAGTCTCTCCCACTCTGAGCAAAAGGCAGCCTCACTTGATGGTGAGGTGGTCTTGATACAGCTTCAGGGGCAAGGCCTGATCAGGAAGCGAAGACAAGGCATGAGGAACTCAGTGGGCAGGCACAGACGAAGCCAGGTTGAAGCATGTCGGCCCCGTTATAAGAGCTGATGTGGTGGTGAGGCTGCCATTCACAGATGTGGAGTATGAGGTATAAATCTGTGTTCAGACTAGCATTTCTCCTAAGAGAAGAGTCACAAGCTAGACACCATAGCGTGAGGTTCTGACCAGGAGCTCTCTGGTGGTCTCAAAGGTTTTTTATCTTTATTTTTATTTTTTGGTTTTTGAGACAGTTTCTTTGTGTAATAGCCCTGGCTATCCTGGAACTTTCTTTATAGACTAGGGTGGCCTTATTGCTTAATGTATTTTACTTAGACTAGGGTGGCCTCAAATTCACATAAATCTACCTGCCTCTGCCTCCCAAGTGCTGGGATTAAAGGCATGCACCACCATTGCCTCGTGATCTGGAAGCTTTTTTATTCTTAGGTTTCTTGTAGCCTTTTGGCAGCTCCAGTATTTCCTAATGAAATTAATTAATAGACACATCTGGAGGTTTTGGGG